CTTGCATGGCAATACATTTCAAGCAATGTATGCACCAATTCATTGCCCCTATCATGTTTGTGACTCAAAAGGGCATGTGTTCTCGATTCTTGGACCACCAATCACGCATTTCCATGCATGATTGGTCCAAAGAATCAAGTGTGCAACTTTCATGTCAAATGAGATGCAAACTTAAACAACGAAAAGGCCCAATTCCTATCACCAAGTCAAGGAACAAGGCATGCGTGCAAGATGCAATGCAACCTAGGCATGCAAGCTAAGGATGCAATATGGCATGACAAGACACTTATGCAAGCATGCAAGCAAACATGAGGCAATGCAAACGGATTGAAAAATGGACTTATACATGATTTAGGCAACTCTAAATAGGCCCAAAACAGTAGCCAAAGTGACACAAAAAAAGACCAAATACACATACACACATGCACATGTTAAAGGGTCAACACTTAGGCACAAATGAGGCAACTCTCAAGCACATTTGAATGAGGCAATCATGGACATATGATATGCATTACAAGCCTTGAAAAACATGTAGGAAATGGATGCCAATTAACCTACCAATGCAAGCTATGCATGCAATGAGACCCAAGGACCTAAAGCATGATCATATGACTCATGAAGCAAATGATAAAATTGAATCAAAACAGTCCCAAATCATGCAAAAGCAAGCCTCAAGAACCACTTAGATGGCATCCAAGTAACCTAATCCTAGAGGCATACACCATGGCATAAACATGAAGCATGAAACATCAACTCTTGAGACATCAAAAGGGTCATGGAATACAAGCATATAAGCATGCTAAGTGGACTGAAGTAACATGTAGGGTGGTTCCAAATCACCGAAATGATGCAAGCAATACATACTACACATTCACATACTTAAGGCCAACAAGCCGGAATGCAAAGGGACTATACTAAGCATGCCAAATCCGACCCAAACAACCTAGGACAGACTTAAAACATGGCAAAATATGCTCAAAACCTTCACAAGACTAAGCCTAAAACAAGCTTGAATAAGGGCTAACAACCTAAGGCATGTTAAGGCAATAACAAGGCATTACATAGTAAGTATGCTAAGCATGCATGGTGTACCAAAACCAACACACAACAAGGTTATATCATGGCATAATAAGCATGGAAAACAGCCAAGACATGATCAATACAAACTCTAACATGATGCTCCCTCAAGAGGCCAAAAACAGTCCATTTCAAGGACAACAAGGAGAGGGGGTGGCCCTCCCCTTTTGGAGACTTCAAGGCACCATCTTCACCACTGAAATCTCTCAAGATTTCAGTGGTGAGGAGGCCCAAACACCAAAGTCCCGGAGCTTACACAAAATAGCACAAAATGAGGCCTTACAAGGCTTAAGAGGGGTCAAACAACCTCAAACAACAAAACACCCTAAATGAACTATTTAGAGGGCCTAAAATCAGAACTTTTTTATGTTATACACTAAGCACAAAAATTGTTCAAAGATGGGTAAAAATACAATGCAAAAATGGGGAATAAAGGGACTAGTTTCTTACCCTTGAAGACCCTTTCAACAATGGTGCTCCAATAGCCCTCCTTGGCTTGAATCCAGCTCCAAAACACTAATACTTGCCCCTTAGAACCTCAGTAACCAAAGGAAGGTGAAACACTAGGTGTTTGTGTGCAATAGTATGGACTAAAACACCTAGAACACACAGAGAGAAAAAGAGAGATAGGAGATATGTATGAACCCTAACCCTAAAACCAGAGCTCTCCTTGTGTTTTCTATCTCTAAAATGTCCAAAATCTCCAACCCTAAGCAAGGGAGAGGAGGGCTCCTCTTATAGAGGAGCCAATCTTGTAAAGCTTACAAGGTAAGCTAACAAGGGTCCATCCCTCCATACACGTATATGGAGGGAGCCAAATGCAAGACAGCTGTGATAAAATATCTGCAAAAGCAGATGCACAGTAGTCGGCCGACCAAAGATGCCATTTTGGCAAAAGTGAGTGCCGACTGGCAACAAATAGTGCCGACCGGCAATATACGTTGCCGGTGGCAGCAAAAACCAGCCGGTGGCCTCTGGCCATGGCCGGTGGTGTGTGGGGATGCCTCACAAGGCATTCCCTGCCCCTCCAAGGCAAAATGCAAGTGTTTGGTGCAAAACCAGACACTCCTCAGGCCATGGCTGGTGGTGTGTGGGGATGCCTCACAAGGCATTCCCTGCCCCTCCAAGGCAAAACACAAGTGTTTGGTGTAAAACCAGACACTAAACGATCGAGTTCGGAGATTCTGAGGCAAGACGCGTAGCCGAGACCTCCGGGAACTCCAAACGAACACAAACATGGATGATCACCGAGTGTTCAAACGGTGACGTCCAAGTCTTGAGGACGGTCAAAAATGGGGTGTCTACAGCGTTGTTCGAGCGGTCATATTTCACTGCATGAGCGGCTGAGGCGGTCGCTTGAGCACCCAACACTGACAGGAAGCAACATGACAGCCTCTCAACCTAGTGTTTTTTGACCCATTTTTCATATTTCTGTAGTCAACACACTTCATTTACAATATCCCCCCCTCTCTCTATATACATATATATATATTTCTCTCTTCTCTATTTCTACATTCACTCTCTCCACTATAGCTCCCAAACTTCAACCTTAATTTCGAAACACTTAGAGTCAGAATCAATCTCTTACCTGAATGTTAATATTGTAGAGCTCGATGAGGGCTTTGAGCTCACTAACCTAAAAGTTGATTTAGGCATCCCTTTTTTATTTGTCTTCTCCTATTTTCTTCAAGTGATAAGGTTTTCTTTTGTGTAAGCATATGTGGTGTTTTTGATATACTCCATTTGGAGATTACTAAAGGAAATTGTGAAAAATGCATGTTAGAAATTTGGGTTAGAAATAATTGTGTATTTCTCTATAATTTTCTTACAAAACTTATTTTGATTGCATAAAATTGTATGAGGGCATTTAAATTTGAGAAAGCCCAAAATCTGTAAAAGGTCCTGATTTGTGAAACTGTATAAAACAAGATATTGGCAATGTTGTGTTGAAATTGAAAATAAATGTATTTGAATTATAGAATTGTTGAAAGTTGTGAGATTATTGGATATTGATAGAGATTGCATTGTTGTAGAAATTGACATCTTGGGTTGAACAATACCTTTCATTAACTTGCATTGTTAAGTTTACCGGATAAAAACCCGTTGTTGAAAAGAAGTGTGTTGAAAACTTTCTGCAAAACAATGAGTATGGCATGAGTTTCCCTTTTTACTTTATTTAAACATTATGGTTTTAAATCAAATGGTATGGTGAATCTAGATAATGTATAGAGAGAGATAATTTGGCTTAATAGTCTATGGTGAGGGACTGAAAATTCGTGAAACGTAGGTGCCAAGTTCCTTTCGATTACCAAAGCTACATTAATTGAACTGTATCTATGTTGAACTATATATTTGTCTGGGATGTTTGGTTTTGGTTAAAATAGCCAATAAAAATAATAAAAAAATTAAAATAACCAATAAGAAAAAAATGTCACATCCTACACATCAATCAAACACTTTTTCTCTCATAACCATATATTCAACTACAAAAAATGTCATAAATCATCCCCAAAACACAACTTTTTTATCTCATAAAATAACAAAAAAGCCACTAGTGCTCGTTTGGGAACTTTGCTATTATAAAATGGATCTTGGCTATAAAACTCTAACCCTATTCACCCAACTGGGTATGAACATGAGTGCTTCAATTGAATTCAATAGTTAGTTTTATGAAAATTGATTTTGAACTTAGGGTGTTAGTTTCATTAAAATTATGCAAAATGATAATAATAATTTTGGAAAATTTTGATTGCTTTGCATTATAATTGTTAATTTAGCATAGAAATTGGTCAAGAAAATTTGATTATCTTTTATGTATTTTGAGAGAAAATGAATTACAAGTTAGGAAGTCGATGCGGATGAGGATGAGAATGAGAATGAAAATGAGGGATGAGAATAGAGCGTTGCCCCTTTGTTACACTAAAACGACTCGTTATTTCGTCATTTTCGTTGTTCCACTGAATTCATTTTACTCTGGTCATGATGTGGCATCTTTCAATCCCTTGGATTGTTTCTTTGCAAAAGTGTTTCCATCCCATTAAACCTCTAGACCATGGCTAGAGGGAAAAGTGCTGGAGTGGATCTTGATCCGAGAAGAGGCTAACTATACATTAATTTTAAATTAATTATTAAATTGATTGGACAAAATGGTTTAGATAGTAATAATTAAATTAATTAAAAAATAAATAAATAAAAACAATGTAAAATTAGGCTTAGTTATGGGGATGTGGGTCTTAACCTTATTGAATTCACTACCAATCTTCTAACTTATTGATTTATTTTATGAAAAATCACTATTATGATGAGAATGATATAATGTGGCTACAAACCCTAATAACTTCTTCAAAAGTATATACATTCAAATCATGAACATGAATCATTTGTTGGCATAGAATGTCTACGCAAAATTACGGTCATAATCACGCATTGTCTTATCTACGTACACTACAACAAAAAAGAATTTTTACAGCGCGCATTGCACACCGTAAAAACCCATTTACGATGTGCAACGTAATGTCATATTATTAACAGTCATGAAAAAGCATTCACTTTCAACGGCATGCCATAGTACACTGTTAAAAACTATTTAACAGCAGATCTTGCGCAACGTTTTTACTTTTTCTACGACTACTTTTGCACGCTGTTAATTGGTGGAACAAATAACAACGTTGATTGCGCGCCATAGAATATGTAATACAATAACTTGCTCAGCATGCCATAGATAAGTAGAACATAACACGGCGTTTGTAGAATGCTGTCGAATATGTCATATAATGGTCTAATTTGCTTGCCGTAGAATGTGCATTATTATTATTATTTTTTAATTCCGTAGGTTCTACTTTGACCTATTTTTTACAATATAACAAACATTACAAACAAGCTTCACAAAATATTAATCAATCACCAAAATATTATTTCAAGCATAAAAAATAAACTACATCCATAAATTATGAACATTAAAAAATTGTCAGTACATTCCAAACATCCAAAAACGAACTGTAAGTTCAAAACTGTCCAAAAAGACTATCCTTGAATTCTAAATTATCCAAAAAGTTATAAACCATCCAAAACTGTATCATATATAAATTTGTAAACAAAATCCAAAACTATTCAAAGATTATAGAAATCTATTAATCAAAGTCCTCAAAAATTAGCCATCACCATCATCATCGTCACTGCTACTATTGGGCTCATACTCATCATTTGAACCATATGTTAGGCAAATGCACCTCACATGATACAATTTTGAGGATTTCAAGTTAACAATAGTCAAGAATTCTAACCAAAAATATAAACAATATGAGATGTAAACTGATAGAAAGCACTTACCCTGACTGTGTGAACTCCTACATAACAGCAGCAGTTTCCCTTACAAGTTGAGTGACAGGAGTTGGTTCCGACACATTACCATCATCAGATCACATTGCAAAGTTATAGTAGCTATAAAAGCTGTAATATTTTACAACAAAAAAAATACAGATAGCATAAACTTGTGATTTCCCAAATGAATTGGCAGGGGTACTTCATGTATCCAAGGTCACATTGAGCAACATCTAAATAACATGAACCATTACTAAAAGTATACTTGTCCATTTGAGACCCCAATGTTCAGCAATGGGTGGTGATACATATAAGTAATCTACAAGTCAACTAAAGAACAAACTACGGACAAAGAAATGAATTATTCTTAATTCAATATTAGTTAACTTGAAGCTGTTTGGAGCAGCTTCGATTTCTACATTCTATAATGAAGTCCCAAACATTAACGAATCAGTATTGTTGTGTTTTGACTGGGGGAAGATGAAAAAAAAAAAACAGTATAGTAGAATGAGTTACAAAACTCCAAATTTATCTTCTTTCCATTAACTTACTCAGGCAGGCATGATTGGTGTGCAAAAAGTCCTATCAACAGGGTCAACAACAATACAATGTTTTGTATAATCCAAAAATTACCGAGGTCCAAAGAAACTTTGAAGTTAGTTATAATATCAAACAATTCTCAATTACAACTAAAAAAATGGAATTCCTCCAAATCCCAATAAATAGGCTAGACATACCTGCACATTTCATCTTAAATTATAAATTCTTCAATAACCTATTTGCTGCCAATTATCAGAAAATATATATATATATATATATATATCACTATTGAGGTTTTAAAATGACACAAATGATGGTCGTTTTTGTTATTTACATTTAATTAGTTCCCAACTATTCAATGATCACTTTAAACTCCTGTTTTTGTCATGATCAATTAGCTAAACAAAATGAAACCCCTTTGGAAAGTAATATCTGGTGAACGGAAGTTTCTTATTTACTACCCCCTGTATCTAGAATAGGCTAATACACAACTATAACAAAACTACTTTTAATTCAATAAACCCCTTTAGAATTTAGATTGAGAGAGCGAGAGCGAGAGAGAGAGAGAGAGAGAGAGAGAGAGAGAATATAATATCTTAAGAATAATAATAATTTAGAGGCAAGTAATGAATTGGTATGAATAAATTTCTACAAGAGTTGAAAATTTTAGTAGCCAACCTGGCAGTCTATTTTGTTAGTACACCCAACGTGTCCAAGAATATACTATGACCAAAATCCTATAATAATTAAGGAAGAAAGCAATACTATGGATTCCATTTGGATATTGATATAAATTTGAGCAAAGAAATAGTGAAAAAGATCCACCTTAATTTGAAAAGCTCTCTTGAAACCACTTGCAAAAAAGCCCCCAAAAAGTGCTATAATTGATGCAAATAAACCCACGCACAAAGCATACCATTGAATAGGCAAAAGTACTGATGTCTCTTTTCAATGAAATTGCAAATTCAATGAAACAATAACATCAAAATAATTTCAAAAAATTTATGATAAATCAAAGATAAAATAATTTAAAACATTTATAAGAAACATTCAAAAGAAAATCATAGTTTAAGGGAAATGTAAAATCCAAGGAATGATATTCATCAAAAGCTAGTGGATCTGCACTCAGTTATGATCATATAATTTAAACAATCTCGAACTTCCATTATCAATTTACAACCAGTTGTGTAATGAAAATTTTATAACACCCATATAACATATTCTATTTCTCACAAAATAGCAAACATCCATGAACAAAATAAAATCAAGGTTTACTCAAGAAAAGTAAGAACTTTAATGAAAGAAAAGAAAAAACAGAGTACTTCATCTTACTTAGCATATTCTCGGCCTTGAATTGCTTCCCATTTGTCCAGCTTCCAACACTAAAATCCCATCCTAAAGAATCGCTAATAGTGAAAGTAGCTGGGACAATTGTTTCCAAGTAAAGTGAGAGGGAAACAAGGAGAGCAGTGGCAAGAACCATAGGTTTGCTTGCACTGCATCTTCCCTGGTGATATGCTTAAACTCATCATCTTGGTTGGCCTCATCATCTTGTGCAATTTCTTCACAATCAGAAAGTGACCTCCAAAAAACCATGGACCATCTTCAAGAACACTAGCACTATTAGAACTCAAGTCAAACAGTAAGAATATAAAACCATTATTAGTAGAAATTACCTCCCTCAAACCCTTTCCCCTCCACAGATTAAATGCATATGATTTCCCAAAAATAACATAAACTATCATATAACCATATAATTTAACAATCAAGACAATGTATTGGACAATATGGCAATTAAACTACTAGACCTATCATAAAACATACATTTTCTTCCGTTCAACAATGAAAAAAAAATCAGCCTATACAAATATACATGTCCATATTAAGTACAGAAAAAAAAATTCAAAATTTTAGAGTCTAAATCAACATATACCTATAAAATCAATTAGAAAAGGGAATTGAAAACACTTCTTACAAATTAATAACACTTGAATCCAAAATGACAATAATTTCCATCAAAAATCCCCTAAATCAATCCAAAATAATCAAATCCAACAATCAGAACGACTTCTCTAATTTAGCCCTAGCTCAATTTCATTCTAATCACACAAAAATCAACACAACAAAGAATTCAATTTTGATTTTAAATTAACATGTACTTGGTAATCAACAGTCAGATAAACGTAACCAAAAGCGTTTCCAACAACCAAGTCAAACAACAATCAGACACCCAATTACACACATATACAGACTTTGAATTTCCATTTTCTCCATTAGGGTTTGGAAATCAAACAATCAGATACCCAATTACACACACACACACACATATAGACCTTTGGGAGTAGAAGAAATTGGGGACCAATCGGACAAGAGACTGCCATCAAGAACCCCCCAAACCTCATTAGATCCGATCCCTTTTTTCCTTCCAATACATCTACTTCGCCTCTAGAAGAATTGACCCCACGAGTATTAAGAGAATCAGCCATAATCAATGAGAGATTAATGAAACCCTAGAAATGAGATGTTTCTGGAGAGAAGGCATACATTCTCTCTCTAGCCCATTTAACTTTTTTGTTTCATTACAACTTTCTAACTAAGTCAATAGCTTCCCACCATTGTGTTCAACTTGAAGACGCTATTGCTTCTTGGAGCTCTTGATGTCGATTTGGGTTTGGGCTTGGGTTTGGGGTTTGATAGAGAGAAATGGAGAGAGAGTGAGGGTTTGGAGAGCATTTTCTATGTTAATGTTCTTGCAATAGATGATGAAAGCATAGAGAGATGGAGAAATAGTGTGGCAGAGGGAGATCAAACGAAAAGCAAAAACATTATTGTTCTTCACCGTATGTATCAAGGTGTTTGGGCGATGAAACCCAGAGAAAGGGATGAGTTGAAAGGGCATTTGAGATCGCCGAGGACGTGAAGCCAGAAATTGCGAGAGGAAAGGAAGAAGCCGATTTGGGAGAGATCGGGCTTGGGAACTAGTCTCGACAACAAGGATGATGATGAAGAAAGTGGAGATTCGTGGTGGGTTTTGAGGGTTGGTTGAAGGTTAAAGCCAAGAGTTAGGGCTGAGAGTTAGGGCTTTTGACTATTATCTTCTTTTTTTTAATTTTTTTTTTGGTGAATTAGCGCAAGAAAAATTATTTTGGCGCTATTTTTTTTTGTCGTACGTTTCACGACATGCATTGTGCATCTTAAAAAGGAAATACTTTTAACGGTAGGCGATGTGTGCATAATCAAAAGTGCAATACTTGTAACGGCGGGAATTGTGTGCGCTGTGAAAAGTGCAATACTTTTCAGGGCTAGCGTATGTGTGTCATGTATAGTTGATGTATTAATGGCATGCCATATGTATGCCATAAAAAGTTTTATTATTTACGGCAAATATTGCAAGCCGTAAAAAAATCATCATTACTACCATCCACAACCTACGCAATAGACACGCCGTGGTTGGAAAATTATTTATGACGTGCAAAAAAGCAATTCGTAAAAGTGAGAAACTACGGCGTGCATTTATTATATGTCGTTGATGTAGTGCCGTAAAAAATTAGTTTTGTTGTAGTGGTATTACTTATTCTACAATTTCAATATATGTAACGAAAATACCATTGTATAACTATGTGCTATAACAACTCAAAAATAATATAATTTGTAACAAGTTGCTTAAGCATTTTTATATATGCAAAGAAAACGCCATTATATAACTATGTGCTATTACAACTCTAAAAATAATATAATTTGTAACAGGTTGCTCGAGTATATGCACACAGAATCTTTTAGGCCAGCCTTAAATCAATTCCATGTTTGTAGGGATATTATCCAGCCATTACTCTGCCCCACTTATGAACTCATTCAGTGTATATAAGCCAGTCTCAATTCTAGTTAGCTTGGTAAACGATATTGGTTATGATGGAATTTCGGTATTAGGGCTACTATTATTATACTCAACAAAATAAGATGAAAATAAAGAGTTGTTGTATTTCCAAGAGGTTTTAGTATAGAATACTTTGAACATGTTTGTTTGGAAGGATTCAATCATGGAATAGGATTCCATCTCTGGTGGATGAAATAGTCCGTTGTTTGGTTCAAAATTTTGCACCAGACTATTAATCCCAAATATATTGGATTGTTCTGTACCATGAAGGGTGTGGGACACAAGACCTAGGATAACTCATTCCATGGGATTAGATAGTAAAATTACATTTTGACCCTCTATTATGTAATATCTTTTTCCTCAATCTTTTCCACATTTGTTTTGTGGCCGTTGGGTGATCTAGGTTTAGTGCTCTGGTGTATGTTGTTGCTCTCTGTGCTCAGTGCTCTTTGTTTAGTGCTATGTGTGGATTTAGAGATTTTCGTTAGTGCTTCGTATGTTTTTAATTATATTTTTCATTATTTTTTTATTATATATATTTACATTCTTTACTGCTTGTTTTTTTTTAAATTTTTTTTTATGTACCTTGTATCTATGGTAGATGGTGTTAATTATACTTAGTAAAGTAAAATAAAATTAAAAAATCTCAACTAAAAATTAAAATAAATTTATGTAATTTTTATTAATATTCTATTTATTTAATTTTTAAAAGTTCTAGTAAAAAATTAAATAAAATTTATAACTTAGATTTAATATTCCTATTATTTAGTAATTCAAAAGGGCAAAATAGTCTTTTGAGTATTTATCATTGTCCATAATATCCCAAACAAACATAGAATTCAATAGAATAGTCCTATCCAGACATCTAATCCCATGACTAAACAAACATAAGATACAAATCTAGTCCAACCAAATAGTCCAGGGACAATGTATCTCACAACTAATAGCCCGGTGGATTACAATCCCCCCATATCCAGTCCATCCAAACAAACACATCCTGACTGCATTACTATAACTCGAGCAATTGGCTTCATTGCTTAAACCAAATATAAAATAAAAGAAATAGAGAAAAACTTACTCAAAGTAACTTGAGAACAAATAATTTCCTCAAGAGCATAAGAACTATTTGATGTAATAAACGTCTTTCTGATTCAATTTGCCAATTAGGATACATTCACCTTTTGAGGTCCAATATAGACTCTTTCAAAGTACCTTCTTATGGGTGTGTATATACAAATTCTTTTAGTACTATTATTTAGGACATTTTGAATGGCCTCTGTGGTTGAGGCGTATTCGTCATTCACAATTACCTTCAAGTTGATTTTGCAAAAAAATATTTGTTGAGAATTTGGAACAACAACAAACACGACTAACAAAGTTGCACCAATCAAGATTACAGCAACCACGGAGAAAAAGAAAATGCAAGTTACATGAAATTTCAACCTACTCAACCCTCATGAAAGAGGTGGTAGTTTAGCTAGTGGTGGTCATTCTCATGGTGGAGCTTGTAATGGTGAAAATATTTTTATCTTTATCTTAGGAAGAGGTGGGACACTCATGGTCTCTGTTTGTGAAACATGGGTAACTGACGAGATGGGTATATATATATATATATGCATATGTGAGCCAAGTATTGTAAATGACAAGCTGTTATGTTGCCGTCTAAGATTACCAAAATTGGTGGTAAAGGAAGGGAGGATGAGTCATTGTCAACTTCAAATGGAATTTTTTTTTGTGTATTTTATAAATAGTTTGAAACATTACGAGTATAAATCATCATTTGTTGGCATAAATCATCTACACTAAATTATGGTCATCATTATCATGCATTGTCTTCCTTACGTATAAGTTATTCTACAATTTCAATATATGTAAAGAAAATACCATTGTATAACTGTGCTATAACAACTCAAAAGTAATATAATTTGTAACAAGTTGCTCGAGCATTTCAATATATGCAAAGAAAACATCATTATATAACTATGTACTGTAACAACTTTAAAAATGATATAATTTGTAACAGGTTGCTCAAGCATATGTATGCAAAATCTTTAGGCCAGCCTCAAATCAATTCCATATCCTCAGGGATATTATCTGGTTACTACACCGCTCCACTTATAAACTCTTTCAGTGTATATAAGCCAGCCTCAATTCTAGTTAGCCTGGTAAACGGTACTGGTTGTGATCTAATTTCGGTATTAGGGCTACTATTATTATACTCGACAAAATATGGTGAAAATAAAGAGAAGTTCTTGTATTCCCAAAAGGTTCTATTATAGAACATTGATTGCATTATTACAACTCAAGCAACTAGTTTCATTGTTTAACCCAAATATGTAAGAGGTGGTGTAGAAACTAACCAACCTCTCATATAAGAAAATTCACATAAGTGAAAAACAAGTCTTGAAGACTATAAATTATTTGGTCTATATTGTTTTCCCACAATCCTGCCCTCCACAAAAGAATCGGCTAGAACGAATTTGCATTTTTGAAAAAAGTAGCAACATTTCCAACAATTAGAGCACCAGCTAGTACCAATTCACAATTTCTATAATATTGACTTTTTTTTTTTCTTGTCAAGCATAGTTGTGTGATACCTAACTATTCTAACTCACTAGAAGACAGAGTGGTCAACATTATTATTAACGACTATGCTAGATAAAGTTTCATACTCAGCACGATCATCCTCAATTATTTTTTCTTGCGCTATGAATTATTTGCCACTGATTCTTATAAAATCAAATAATTTAATAATATCATTACATATATATATTTGAAATGAAAAATTAAAAAAAAATAGATATTATTATATATATATATATGAAATAAAAATAAATAAATTAAAAAAATATAGAAAAATTCACTCAAACTAACTTGAGAACAAATAACCTCATCAAGAGCATAAGAATTATTTGATGTTATTAGCGTATTTCTAATTCCATCTCCCAATAAGGATATGTTCGTCTTTTTAAGTCCAATACAAACTCTTTCAAAGTACCTTACTTTTGGTACATATACAAATTCTTTTAGTACTATTATTTGGGGGGTTTTTGGATGGTCTTTGTGGTTGAGAAATATTTGGCATTCAAACTTACCTTCAAGCTGATTTTGCAAAAAATTATTTGCTAAGAATTTGGAATAATAACAAACACAACTAACAAGGTTGCACCAATCAATATTACAGTAACCACGAAGAAAAAGAAAATGCAAGTTAAATGAAATTTCAATCCGCTCAACCCTCATGGAGGAGGTGGTGGTTTAGTTGGTGGTGGTAATTCTCAGGGTGGAGCTTGTGACGGTGAGACAATTTGCATCTTTATCTTAAGAAGAAGTGGGACATTCTTGGTCTCTGTTTGTGGAACATGGGTAACTAACGAAATGGGTATATAAATGTGCATATGTGAGTCAAGTGTTTCAAATAACGAGATGTTGCAAGATTACCAAAAATGGCGGTAAAGGAAGGGAGGATGTAGCGTTGTCAACTTCAAATGAGGTTTTTTTTTTTTTTTTTTTTTTTTTTTTTTTCATTTAAGGAATAGTTTGAAACATTACGAGCATAAATCATCATTTGTTGGCATAAATCGTCTACGCTAAATTACTGTCATCATTATCACGCATTGTCTTCCTTACATATGAGTTATTCTACAATTTCAATATATGTAAATAAAATACCATTGTATAACTATGTGCTATAACAACTCAAAAACAATATAATTTGTAACAAGTTGCATTTCAATATATACAAAGGAAACTCCTTTATATAATATATGCTATAACAACTTTAAAAATAATATAATTTGTAATAGGTTGCTCAAGCATACGTATGCAGAATCTTTTAGGCCAACCTCAAATAAATCCCATATCTGCAGGGATATTATTCGGTTACTACACCGCTCCACTTACAAACTCTTTTAGGGTGTGGTTGTTTGGACGGACTGGATAAGGGGGATTGTAATCCATCGGACTGTTAGTCCTGGGATACATTGTCCCTGGAGTATTTGGTTGGACTGAATTTGTATCCTATGTTTGTTTAGTCATGAGATTAGATGTCTGGATTGGACTATTTTTAATGAATCCAATGTTTGGTTGGACGGACTAGATAAGAATAAATGTTCAAAAAACTATTTTACCTTTGTAATTTATAATTCTTATTTAATATATAATTTTAAATTTGTAATCTATAATTTAACAACACTAAAAA